GTGGTTCTCGGAAGACACTAATTAATCTGTTATGAATAAGGGTGTCAATGTATATTTACTTTTCATTTAATTTATGCGTAAATTAAATGATACATAATTTATATTTATTATAAAGTAAACGCTAAATGATACCCCTACTATTTGATAAGTTTTGTTTTTTGCATGTTATAGAGGTTTCATGTAACTTCTATAAGGTTTTTTAATACGCATGGAATCTGCCTCTTGAAGTCCTCTGAAGTCTTATAAAGTCTCAAGAAGTCCTACAAAGTCTCTGAAGTCTCATGAAGTCCGTGAAGTGTAACGAAGTCTTTTGAAGTCTTTTGAAGACCCATGAAGTCATACGAAGTCTTATGAAGCCTTGCGAAGTCATTTGAAGTCCTATGACGTCTTCAGAAGTCTTTAGAAGTCTTCTGAAGTCTTGTGAAAATATGAAGTCACAGCGGCTAAAGTCTGTTGAAGTCTGTTGAAGTCTTTTGAAGTCTTGAAGTCTTGAAGTCCGCTGTTTCTCCCTTGGGGAGATTCAAGGGAAAAAACCTCCCAAAGCTAGCGAGAAACAGCTCTTTGAATTAGGATTTTACAGTAAAATATATTCTCAGTTGAAATTTGCAGGCCATTCGATTAAAGGGGAGGGGGATGCGGGAGAGGGAACTGGAAACGGGGAATTCACTCCGCCTTCCGCTCCCTTCCCCCCCACCTCAAAAAAATTTTTTCTTGCGTTATAGTGTTCTGCTAAGAAATTTTCTTGACAAGCAGTTAGCGGACTGTAATATTTTAGTGAACCGAATGAACTATGCAAAGAATACCATCCATTTTCTCTGGCAAGGGATCGTTCTGAACTGCCTTATCGCTTTTGACTTCGAACTCTGCATAGGGTAGACCCCATTGATGTATAAAAAACCCGTACGAAGAAATCCTCTTAAGCCTGATGTCCAGACTCATAGGCATTTTACTGCAATTGTAGCCTATCCCTAGAGGAAATCGTTGCTGTTTCCGTGCCAAATTCTTAACAGATTAAATCAAGATTCTTCAAGAATTCGCTCTTTTTTTTCTGAGGAAATGACTAGATCCTGAAAGAAGTATGTAGCTACGGAATTTCAAGGTCCTCAAATGATTCGAAACAGGATTCAATTAAGATTCTTAGCAGAGATATTATGTGCTTGTGGGTGTCAATACGGGTTCACCTTATGTTAACTAACAGTCGCAGCCACTAATACACCGTTCTGTTGGATTCTTGTTGAGATCCTCCTCTGATTCAGTTAAAATAGTTGACTGGATCCTTGTATAAGAATCCCGATCGGATGCTGTCTATAATTTGATGAAACCTTGAAAGAATTCAAGTAGGATTCTGCATTCATGACTTAGAAAAAAATTTGGACAGAAACTCGAAGAAATCCTGAACAAGATTCTGATCATCCGTGAAAAATTCTGTAAGAAGAAATTATCAGGAATTGAGGCAGGATCCTGAAGAAAACTTGACAAGATCCTTGAGATCTAGCATCCTGAAAGATCCTTCCAGGATTTCTTAAGGAATAAACAGGATTACGACTAGAGATGGCATGATGCGTACCGACAAACTGAGTATCGATATTTCGAGCTGAGATTTACTACATAAACAGGTCTATTAGTGAACAAAGTGTCCTGTAAATTCTAGCTCAGAAGAATATTTCCTTCCCCAGATATTATAACTTTAAAAAAGCGACAACTCTAGAATCTTTCGTAGAATATGAGTGATTTTTAACACTTCAATATGTTGGAAAGAAAGCATTTTTTTTAGCTGAAATTTTCAGGATATTTTGCTCTCTACTTGACCTGTTTATATATAGGACCTCAGTTCGAAATACCATCATTCAATTTGTTTGTATACCTCATGCCATAGGCTAAAATTGCAATAATATGTCTGTAAGCATGTACGTAAGGCCTAAAGAGGTTTCTTCTTATAGGATTTTTCATACATCAGTGAGATCTACCTGGTGCACAGAGTTCGAACTCAAAAGCGATTTGATAGTTAAAACGGTTCCTCGTCAACCAGAAAGTCGTCACTCAATATCTCAAGACAATCGAATTCTTATTCATCAAGAAAGTTAGTATATTAAACAGCTAAGCAAAACTGATTCAAGATCTCTTTTAGTCTGAACTATTTTCTCTTTGAATCCAAAGTACCTTCTCTTTCGATCTAAACTTCTTTCTCTGAAACTGACCTGTTTTCTGTTGGATCGAAATTATTTTCTCTTTAGATCATCAAAGAAGAAAATGGATTAGTTTCAGAAAAATAGTTTGGATCTAAAAAGAATATAAATCAGTTTCGAAGAGAACATACTATGGGTCTGGGAGTAGATATCATTCTCTTTCCAACACTCACACCCACACCCACACCCACACCCACACCCACACCCACACCCACACCCACACCCCATAATCATCTTTGTTCAATATTAAATCACTGTGAAAAAGTGGATCAAGAAAGGCATCCACCTATAAAAGGAAAAGAGTAAATTATATGATATTAAGATTAGTAAACAATTCCGTTAGATGAATTATATCTTTTGATGACTGTTTGTTTTATCTCTACTGTAACAACTCGAGTTTCAGATGAAGACCGCAGTAAACAGGCTAAACTCAGATATTAAATACAAATCTTTGGCTTTTCCGGAGAGAGTCCCTGAGAAGAACAGTTTAAATGAATCATTTGCTCACCTTCATTCCAAGTTTTTGAGCAGGTGGTAAAAATAAATCAAGATAATATTCACATTGATACTTTAAACTTTTACTAATAATAGCATGATAATGAGATAGAGTAGATGTTTATTGAACACTTTCTTCAAGTGTTTGAAGAGCATAATAAGAGAGTGATTGTGTTGGATAATCACCTGAGAGAATCGTAGTAACTCGATCAAAAGGATCAAGAGAAACTCGAAGTGCATCCAACATTTCCCAATCATCATAATTAAATGCTAATGAACGAATCTTCATTTCTTGTGCCACAGTTAACCCTTTCCAATCACGTTTAGTAAACATGGCATCAACCATACCACGACGTTTCATTAGACGATCAATCATTTTAAAAGTGCTATTTCACCTAACCTGAAAATAAATCAATTCATATTGTTTCACTTTAACAATAGACCATATTTTTCGAAATGTGAGAGTAATTCTCTTCTTGGATATCTCGATTCGATTTAATGAATTGTAACAACTACCTCTAGATACTCGCTATTTACAGAAAAAAAACGGATATGCTTGCCAGAAACAATTGGTCATGATAAAAAATATTAATTGATGTCAGAATTTGTTAAAATTATTATATAACAATTTATGCTGCTCGAACATTTTCCGTAGTTACAGTATAGAAAAATCTAGAGGATTAAAACTTACTTTAACATCAAGGATTAAACCACCTGCATTTGAATCCATTCGTTCTTGCACATAACGTTGGAGTGATGAAATTGCACGTGTCATGGCACAAAAGTACGAACTTTTTGAATAAGACGATGAATACGAATAAGAAAATTAAAAATATCTTCATTTGAGATAGGTTTTTCATTTGGAGAACTGTCTTCTATACTATCAAATGCAAAATAATCATTCTAGCACCAAAAAAAACGAGAAAAAGTTAGAAAAAAAGTTTCATTGAATGCATGATAATTTACCGATGGTTGAATACTATTGTTAGACAAACCATCTATATCGTCGATAGAAGTGAATAATGTATATGACGGAATTTCATTCGTCATCTCATCATCTTCATCATCGATAAGAGAACTGCTAACCGGTTCAAACATTGTATCAAATGGATATCTAGAAAATGTAATGATACATTTATTAATAGTAAATAAAATGAAATGTCTAAATCGAATTTTTGTTAGTCTCAATATTATATTGGGTATAGTTAGCAACAGTATATCTACATGTTTTTGTGTCTTCATAACTAAAAAAGTTTCCTTGCATTTTAAATAAGATGCTGTATTTGTACGCGAGAAAAAACAACCCTGGATAATGCAGTCGAGAGACATAGGGAGAAAAGTTATAAATAAAAGAAGTGGATAAGAAAAGAAGTCACGTATGGTGGAGAAAGAAAAGAAGAAGCATGTAACATCGAAAGAAAGAAAAGTATGTGAATTCGAGGGCACAGACATATCGACTTAACGAAAAAGTTATTATTGCTTTCATAGATCGTTGTAGAGATCTTAAGATGATCCAAGAAACAACAATTGTTTTCTTATTGAAGGAGTTAAATACAGAATTTTCTCCCACGCTATTCTTTAAATGACACATTATTTACCTCTTTGCGTTCGGCATCTCCCATACACATGTACCATGATGAACGACAAGATTAAGACAATGAGCAAGACATGCATAACGAGGACCAAGCACACCTGACGCTGACGCTGCTTTGATATCCGGACCATTGTCGGTTGTGAGACCTGCTAAAATGCTTGTACTTAATCCGAAACGTTCACGTTCATATTCAAAGAATTTTTTAATATTTATAGATAATTTTTGTTCTGTAAATCGATGAAATGATATTGGCATGGACACGAAATCAAAGTCAATAGAAAAAGTGTGAAGAGAAAGTGAGATAATATGTTGACCAGAGACATCTTTCCAAAGATCACTAGTAAAAGAAATTGGCCCTATATGTGGTAAAATAGATTTAAGATCAACAATGTGATTAAAGTATTGATCTTGTGTCCGTAATGAAAGTGTGCGACGATCAGGCGATTTGTATCCTGGTTCAAGTATATCAAGTAGTTCAATTAATGCATCATGATTAAATAGGCAAAATGGTAAACCAGCTTCAATCGTACATTTTAATATTGCTTGATCGATTTGACGTTTACGAGTTGAAGACACAAAAACATGTAGATATACTGTTGCTAACTATACCCAATATAATATTGAGACTAACAAAAATTCGATTTAGA